GCTCTTAAGTCTTTTTAAATGTACTGAGTCAAGTTCACCCAAATTATTTAGGATAATCTCCCTTACTTAAAGTCCGTTGATGGTGAACTTGAAGCACATCTGTAAAATACCTTTACAATAACACCTACACTGGTGTTTGACTAACTGGGGAATACAGGCTAGCCAGGTGGATACTGACCATCACATCTCCCAATGCAAGGCCTCCTTCTGCAGCAGGATTTACTCTACCTGGCGTACCTGCAGTGCAGGCTGCAGACCTTTGCACAGAGGGACTTGGTGTGGATGGCCTTCTCCCTGACAGCCCACCATGCACAGCCCGTCCTCCCATCTGGCCCACCTAACAACCCATCTCTATAAAACTCCAGACATTGCTTTGCCTTTGCATTTTCGAAGTCTGAAATTATCAGTAAGCCTTTTTTCTATCTCTTCCCTGAAACTAAAATCCCTGATAAGCACAGAGGATAAGCTTTGGAATCCCGAGCACGGAGGAGATACGGATGTGTGTAACGGAGGTGAGCTCGTTTACTATATAATCCCAATTCCCAGCTTTATTCAACGCAAGGATCATCTAGATAAGCAAATAATTCAGACGAGAGGAAGAAGTATTTTCCTCTCAATTGCTCGAGTTTCAAAGAGAAGGAATGAAGAATTAAGATGATGAAGAGTGTGAAGTAAAGGAGTGTATGTCTTGCATGGTTCGAATATTCTACTGTTAGCTATTGTCCAAGTCTAGGTTTGCCAGAGAAAAGGGGTGGGCCTTTACATTTGAGATGCTCAGGCACAATCTTACCAAAGTTCCAGTTCTCCCTCCAGTCCATAGCCCAGAAATATCTTTGTCTCTCATTCTGAAGGGTCCCTTTCTTTTGCGGCTTCCACAGTTTGGTCTGAATTGCTTGTTGAAGTAATTTTATTTGTGGCTGATTCTTGTCCTCTAATAGCCAATATTTGTTGAGCACCTGCATCTCAGTCATACCAAGCACCATCTCCATTATTCTACATAACAATCATAGAAGGTAATACTTTTATTGTCCCCAATTTAAAGATGAAGAAATGGGTTGAACACGTTAGCAAAACTGGAGCCTGGGGGACCACTGTTCCTCCTAGAGGATGTGCTTTGCCTTGGGCGTCATCTTTGTGTGGGCATCTTAGGCTCTATATCTTAAGGACAATAATGCCTACATCAGTGCATTGTCGGGAGAATCAACTAAGATCAAGTAAGTGGCTGGTATTGAGCCAAGCACACAAAAGGGTGCTTAGTGAACGTAAAGGACAAGCACAAGAACCACAGAATTTAGATGTTGCTTGGCAAAAGTACTTACTCTTCTGTGCCTTGCTCAGTTATAAAGCTTCAGACATTGGATCACAGAACTGAGGATGACAACTACTATGTTTTCTCTGGACAAAACTGGGTAAAGGCAATGATTCATGTTTCTCAGATATAATATGACCCGCCTGCATCATAATCATCTGGGGAGCTAGTTAAAATGAAGACGCCCAGGACCACCCCTCCTCCCCCCACCCCACTGCACTGATAGGTAGGAAATTGCCTTTTTAGACAAGCTTGAGTAATTTATATACACTCTTGAATTTAAAAGCAAATACACACACACACATACATATATGTATGTGTATAAATCCCATCTTTATCAAAAAATGTATGAATGTAAATATATATACACATATGTATACATTATATTTTATCAAAAAGATGCAACGACGTCCATTTTTGTGGGGTTTCTTTTCACCAGAATCAGAGTCAGTGGACACTATTTTTCATGTTTTATATAGCACGAACAGTGCTACAACCAAGCAGAAACCTACAGTAGCTCCATTTACAAATAAGTCAAAGCAAATCATACATTGGAGAATTCTCAAAAAGGGCAAGATTGAAATCTAAGTCAAGAGGGTCTAAGCCAATGGTAGTTCCCAATTGAAAATCACTTTTCAGGTTTACAAAAATTCATGTATGTGGGCCCCATCATAGATTGACTGAATTAGAATGTCTGAGGGTCGAAGAAAGTAAACTTGATTGACTCCTCTGCTGTTGTTGTCTCAAAATTCTTAATTTTTAACAAGGGGCCTTGCATTTTTACTCTGCAGTGGGGCCTGCAAATTATGTAGCTGATCCTGCCTACAGATGAACACCCGGGGTGCCCTTGAAGCAGAGGGAAGTTGGAGAAAGTGCAGAGCTGCAGTTCAGTTTGAGTCTCAGCCTGAGTTCTGACAACCAGGGCCCCATCCATCCCTAAGGAGCTCTCAGATTCTCTGAACCCTCAACTCCTACCTGGACAGACTTTGTGAAAAAATTTGTTCTCTGAGTATGTGCTAACTGAGGTATATATCATTTCCATCATCCTTGACCCTTGCTGGAAGATGAGTTAATGGCATTTCTGTTTAACTTAGTATCTGCTAATAGAAATGGTGACTAATTGGAGAACATTAAAAAATTCTGTCCTACCACAGACAAAGGGCTGATACCCAAGATCTATAAAGAAATCCTCAAACTCAACACCCAAAAAACAGAAAATCATGTCAAAAAATGGGCAGAAGATGTGAAGACAGACAGACAGACAGACAGAAGACTGATACTTCTCCAAAGAAGACATACAAATGGCTAATAGACACATGAAAAAATGTTCATCATTAGCCATCAGGGAAATTGATCAAAACCACATTGAGGTACCACGTTACACCAGTTAGAATGGCCAAAATTAATAAGACAGGAAACAACAAGCGTTGGAGGGGATGTGGAGAAAGGGGAACCCTCTTACAATGTTGGTGGGAATGCAAGTTGGTGCAGCCACTTTGGAAAATAGTGTTGAGATTCCTCAAAAAATTAAAAACAGAGCTACCCTATGACCCAGCAATTGCCTACTGGGTATTACCCCAAAGATACAGATCTAGAGAAAAGAAGGGCCATCTATACCCCAGTGTTCACAGCAGCAATGGTCATTGTCTCCAAACTGTGGAAAGAGCCAAGATGCCCTTCAACAGACAAATGGATAAAGAAGATGTGGTCCATATATACAATGGAATATTATGCCTCCATCAGAAAGGATGAATACCCAACTTTTTTATCAATGTGGCTGGGACTGGAGGAGATTATGCTGAGTGAAATAAGTCAAGCAGAGAGAGTCAATTATCATATGGTTTCACTTACTTGTGGAGCATAAGGAATATCATGGAGGACATTAGGAGAAGGAAAGGAAAAGTGAATTGGGGCAAATAGGAGGGGGAGACAAAGCATGAGAGGCTGTGGACTCTGAGAAACAAACAGGGTTTTGGAGGGGAGGGGGGTGAGAGGATGGGTGAACCTGGTGGTGGATATTAAGGAGGGCATGTATTGCATGGAGCCCTAGGTGTGGTGCATAAACAATGAATCTTGGAACACTGAAAAAATTAAATTTTTAAAGAATTATTTCCTCTTCATACCTGATCATTTTCGAGAAATCAGTACTTGCAAACCTGTATATTAACATATCAGTTATCATCCTTTTGTACTTTGACAGCTTTGCAAACAATCCACGTTTTGAAAAACTCTTTCAAACAAATCTTGAGCAAACTTTTCCTGTTTCTCTTGAGTTCATAATGACAGTATTATTTTCATTTGTTTAGTTATGTTTAGTTATCTTATCTGGCATGACCAGATGATCCAGGATTGTTTTTCAAGTCTTGCTTTTAATTTAACAAGGTAATACATTAATTGGAAGCAAATGTTTTTGTTTTGTTTTGAGAAATCCCTTTTAGGAGTACCTGGGTGGCTCAGTTGATTAAGCAACTGCCTTCAGCTCAGGTCATGATCCTGGAGTCTTAGGATGGAGTCCCTCATTGGGCTCCTTGCTCAGCAGGGAGTCTGCTTCTCCCTCTGACCTCTCCCCTCTCATGCTCTCTCTCTCTCATCCTCTCTCTCTCTCAAATAAATAAATAAAATCTTTTTAAAAATCCCTTTTAGAGATCAGGAAAGACAACATACTCAAAAGAAGGTATGGCTAGTGTATTTTGTTTTCATGAAATCATTTCAGAGCTGAAAATTACCTTACAAATCACCACGTTCAACGTCCTTATTTTCTCCCTATGTTCCCACAGAACAGAGATTGTGATTTGTTCAATGAACCACGTCAACTTTGTAGCAATAGGAAGAGACTCCGGGGCAACTGACCCCAAACCATCCTAGCACACCTGTGCTTAGATAGTTCCAACTAAATTACATGATCATTAAACACTGCTGCAGAGTTCAAACTATTACTTCAGAAATAGAAGTGCCATATGATTTTCATCCTTTAAAGGTAAATTAAAACCCTCTATTATTCTTTCTAAAGATGACAGGAATCACATTATATCATATATAAATGTTTATGAAGAACATTACTCTTGGAGACATTATAAAAAACCTTTGAAGACAAATATATCACATCTACGTCATGCATAACACTGCATTAGAATTCTGAATAGCATCACCATTGTGAGATGGGACAACCCCTTGCCATGTCACACTTCTCTTATGAAGGGGACACAAATGATGTTCATACAATTTCATCACAGTGTGCCTAAATTGCAGAGGACTAACTTTGAATTATACAGGATCTGCTTACTATTGCCTGACATCACGTGGTCCTCTGGTTACCAGCATTCACTGGACATGCCTGGATCTATGCCCTCATCTCCCTGTGAGTCTCTTAAGGGCCGGAACAGTGTGTTTAATGTTCATCTTTTTATATCCATGATCTATCACACTGACTGGCATATAACAGCAAATAAATGGATAAAGAGATGAATGACAATCTTCTAGATCCCTGTATTTTCACATAGATTTATTATAGTGAAAAGGTACTAAAATCTCAATGAAGGCAGGGAAATATGTTATACCTAATATATATATATATATATATATATATATATATATATATATATATCTTTCTATGCCTTGCACAGTGTTAGTGAGGCAGCAAATTTAATTCAACGATCGGGGACTGAGGAGAAGCATACATTTATCCACTTACTTGCAAGCAAGCCAACTCCACTTGCAAGGGATCCGACCCAGGCTGTTTTTCCTTTTCCTTCACCAAAGATGTCCAGCCATTCTATGTACAAGACTCCAACAGCCAACGGTGATCCATAACACAAAAACTGAGTGAAAAAGGAGACAAGCACAATCACCCAGCCCCATCCACCATCAGGTGACTTTTTAAAATCCATCGTAGGTAAGAAATCAAGGAAGTGTTCTTCTGTAGGTCCTAAGTGAAAAAAAAGGAGAAAAACATATTTAGAGTGTGGTAGGGCACAGTATTTTGGATTAAAAATATCTCCTCCTAAATTAAGTCATAAAAGTCTTTTTTAAAAATACACATGGAAAAACATAAAATTTCACTGACATATCAAGTTAACTTTAAAAAAAATTTTTTTTTAAAGATTTTACTTATCTATTTGACAGACAGAGATCACAAGTAGGCAGAGAGGCAGGCAGAGAGAGGAGGAAACAGTCTCCCTGCTGAGCAGAGAGCCCGATGCGGGGCTCGATCCCAGGACCCTGAGATCATGACCTGAGCCGAAGGCAGAGGCTTTAACCCACTGAGCCACCCAGGTGTCCCAACTTTAAAATTTTTACTCTTGATTTGAGAAAAGAATACATCCACATGATTCAAAAGAAATTTTTTAATTGCAAAAAGGCACAGTTTGAACACCTTGTCCCCATCCACCAGGTTTGGTCTCTTGCCACGTGTTGGCTCCCCCAGGAAGAAGATTCTTAGTAAGAAGAAAGTTTTTTAAAACTATTCTTTTCCATTGGAAGGTAATAGGCTGGAGAGGAAAAAGATAAGCAGCCATGTAGTGTCAAGGAAGGGGACTTCTAAAATGGGATGCCCGTCAGAGTTGCTCTGAGTTAAGCATAGAGAGTTGGCCCATCACACTCCCATGTTGGTCATTCGCCAGGTTCAGGCCATCCAGGGAGTGGGCATGACCATAGGTGACGAGGCTCCCTTCAAATGAGGCAATCATTTCTGTACGGCTGTCAGCGGAAGGCACCCTGCCAACAGTACTGTGTGCAGCTAGGGCAAGGAATCTCTCAGTCCCAAAGGGAGTCTGGAGGGGAACTGGCAGCACATCACAACACCCACCAACTTGAGTATCCTCCCAGACTTTCTTCATGAATGTACAGGAAATTTCCTCTTTTTTGACAAAAAATAGCATATTGTACATTCTATTCCAAACCTTGTCTCATGCCCTTAACATCCCCAAGATTTTTCCCTATCAACACAGAGACAGCATCCTTAGTCATTTTTTTCTTAATTAAGCACGAATTATCTCACTATATGGTTGCACACTTGTTTATTTAGTTACCAAATAGGCAAAACATTACACAGCCTTCTAGTCTCTTGAGGTGTTTGGCTATTGTTATCATATATTATCTAGTTTATTATCTAGATTATTATCTAGAACTATTATATAGTTCAAGAATGAAAAAGAGGGACCAAAGGTATATAATCCACACCTACCTATTTCTCACCTAACTCCCATATCCTCCACAGGAAACCAGTGCTTCTTGTTTCTTTCATATCCTTCTAGAGTTTGTTTATGCATATATTGCTAACTCAAATATAGCTTTCCTCTATTTTTTACACAGAAAAATAGCATGATATAGATGTACATATATACATATGTATCTGTATATGTCTCGCTTTTTTTCACTTAGAAAATATCCTGAAGATCTTTCCCATCGATGCATAGCGACCTTCCTTATTCTCTTCTTTGTGCTGCCCTGTGTTTCAGTATAGGGCTTTCTCTTAATTCAACCAGTTCCCTGTGGTTTACAATGAAAACAACACTGCAGTGAATAACCTTACATATACATATATCTTTTTGCATATATGCATATCTGTTAGGTAAAACCTAAAAGAGTAATTGCTGAGTCAAAAGCTATGTACACTGTAATTGTAACTGGTATTACAAAATCGGCTTCAAGGGATTAAACCAATTTATGTCATCCCCGGCAATTTGTCGTGTGTGCTAAAACTTTTGGATTTTTGTCAATATGGTAACTGTAGAACAGTATTTCATTATAGATTTCACTTGCATTTTTCAGCTTTCCCTGAATGTTGTGTGTCATCTCATAGATGAAAAGCCATCTGTAATTCCTATCTAGTTCTTTGGTATGTATATATGGGTGTATTTCGGGATTTTCCATTCTGCTTCATCGATGTGCCTATTCATTCACCATTACCACATTAGTTTAATTACTAAGTTTAAGGTAATTTTAAGTACTCTATTCTTTTTGCTAATATTATAATTGGGGTTATTTCTTTGTCTTTTGTTTGTGTGCGTAAAAGTTATTGATGTCTGTATGTTAATTTTGTGTCCCACTACCTTACTAAATTCTCTCGTTTGCCTTAGATGTTTGGACAATTCTCTTGGGTATATACAATATATAATACAATAAAGTTCCACAATCATCTACTAACAGTAATAGTTTTACATTTTTATTTTGAATTTTTATACTTCAAATTTCCTTCTTTTGCCTTTGCATCAAACCGGGTATACAGGATAATGTCAAATTGAGGGTATATGTCTCTGTCTGGCTCCTAACTTAGTCAGAACACCTTCAAATGCCAAGGTGCTGCCTCTGGGGCTTAAATCAATTTATTTCACAAAATTAAGAAAATATATCTATTTCCCTAACTTTGAGTGTTCTCATAAAGAATGCTTAATATGTTTTATCAAATGCATTTCTGGTGCACAGGGAGATGATTATGATCTCTTCCATAGAACTTTAAATGTAATAAAATCTGTACTCTCTTTTCTTCTCTTTTCCTTTCCTTATTTGTCAGAAAGAGAGAGAAAGCACAAGCAGGGGGGAGCAGCAGGCAGAGGGAAAAGCAGGTTCCCCACTGAGCAGGGAGGCAAATATGAAGCTCAATTCCAGGACCCCAGGATCATGAACTGGGCCGAAGGTAGACACTTAAGCCAACTGAGCCACCCAAGCACCCCTAAAATCTCTATTTTTCTACCTTGAACCATCCTTGAATTATTGGATTAAATCATCCTTGGTTCATGCACTATTTTGATTATATCAGCCTATTTGGGGGACAGGGGAAGGATTTTTAAATTGATAAGTGAGATTTTTCTTTTTGTTTTTAATTTTTACTGTTTTTTTTTATCAAAGTAATATTTTAAAAGAATGTGAAAATATAACTCCTTCCAAAGTTCTAAAACAGTTTACATGGCTATGGATTTGGAGGGCCAAATCTCGACCTCCCTGCCCCCGCAAGGCTTCCCACTTAATCTACACTTCCTATGTCCCTGTACAATGTCAGGTTTACAGTTTCAACAGAGTCTTCTTTGACCACAGGTTTTTCTAAGCCATTCCCTTGGCTGTTGTTTCATCAGATAATAGCTAAAGACAGTGGAAAATATCATTCAGCCATTCATGCATGTCCCTAATTAGACGGCGGAGCATTTGGCTATCTTAAGAGAGTCATAGTTACACCCACCAATTTATCTGGGCTTCAGTGAATGTCTTCACTCTGACATTCAGAACACTAGGCAAAAATCACATTACCACCTGCCACAGGCCTTTGTATAAATTAACTTTTAGTATTTCCTAATTGAAAACTGGAAGATGTTACAATTTGTACACAAAACTGCAGAGTCTAAAGGCCAGCCTCTCAGACCAAATGATTGTGTTAGCAAACAGAATACTGCAAACTTCCAAATATCTAAATCCTTTGAAATAACCATCAGAAATTAACTCTTTCTAGTACCTACTCTACTACAAAAGCAAATAATATAATGCTGGTCCTTCTTTTTTTTTTTTTTTTTTTAAAGATTTTATTTATTTATTTGACAGACAGAAATCACAAGTAGGCAGAGAGGAGGAAGCAGTCTCCCCGCTGAGCAGAGAGTCTGATGCGGGGCTCGATCCCAGGAGGATCATGACCTGAGCAGAAGGCAGAGGCTTTAACCCACTGAGCCACCCAGGTGCCCCTATAATGCTGGTCCTTCTAATGACAATTGGGTACTTTGCCATATTTCTTGGTCAAAATTCCTTTTAAAGAAAATATAGTCTTGATTCCCTAAACTAGATACTATATGATAGCAATAGCCAAACGGCTAGAGAGACTAAAAGGCTATATAAGAACAAATGCATATGAGACTGTTTATTTAAATCTTCAAATTACAGAACTTCAGGAAAAGTACACAATTACATAGGCAGAACACCAGAATCGCGAATAAAGCCAGTATTTTCTGGAGGGTGGGGAAAGTGAAGGGGTGAGGAGAATCTCCCTTGCCAGTGTGCACACTTCAGGAGATAGAAATACCTTTATACACAAAATACCTTGCTTTACTTTGCTTTGCCTAGGGTGACATTTCAACACACAGGACAAGAGCCAGAGAATTCTTCTCACCATAAATATTTGGGAGAACAATCTTTGAAATACAAAGCTCCCATGTATATCAACTCTGACTAGAAAGACAAGTTTTTACAACGAGTTGGCTAACAGTTTCTAATCTTTAATTGTCTCATAGTTTGATATACATGTAGTCTCAATAGAACATGCTGGAAAATACCATTTCGTGATTTCTTGTTTTCTGTCAGGGTAATGAATAACTTCCTCCTACAGGTCCCTCTATTCCTTAGGTGTTTCTCACCTGCTATTTCTCTGACATTATATATTCTGCAAGTTGATTTCACAAATAGACTAATCTTTATTCCACCACCCCCCCCCGTAATGGCTCCCAATTTCCTGTGGGAGACTTGGATCTTCTCTATAGATAGACAGTTGGTAAGACTGCTGATTAAGATTCCTTGATCTTGACCCATAGGACAGTACCTAACCCAAGCAAGGGCAACAGGACCTCTCTCCCAGGTTTCTGAATCTTAGGTGAAATGCCATAAGAAAAAAGACAGACATTTGAAGTTTATTGATTTCAAAGATAGTACACTGAAGAGATCTTCTGCCAGTTCCTACTACCTTGACTACCTAGGGGATACCCAAGATTGGTTTCTCCAGGCTTTCGTTTCACTCCATGAGCAAACCCAAAAGATTATTTGTGAAGTTAGCTGGTGTTTGTTTCTTTTACTTAGAATAGACTAAATAAATTTGAGTGTGCAATAATTTCAAATTGATTATTTTAACTTTCTATACCCTACTTGGTTCCATTTGGGCCAAAGAGCAAGTTTAGGAATATAGTCTACGGCCACATAATATAGGAAATATAGACATGTCATATTTTTTTCTGA